CTTGCCTCAGGTGCCAGTTGCTAAATTAGACAAACTGCTTCTTTCAAAAGAGCACAAAAACACAAGAAGCTGTTCCACCCCCCAGTTATCCTATACTGCAATACTATGGAACAATTTTTCAGCAGAGATAAATTACAGTGAAATACATCTTTTTGGAAGGCAAAATGCCTTTATGTTGCAAGCAAGTTTTTCCAGAAAAAAAAACAAGTTTTCTGCTTTGTAACTTGAGGGCATAGCTGTTAATGTAATTCAAGTAACAGGACATAAAAAAGAGGTGAGAAAAGGAAGGAAACTGCCTTTAGTAAATAGACTTAGACTGCAGTCATTCCAATTTGCCTGTGCTGCTGGATTATGACACGTAATATGAAGAGCACTATCAAGCAGCAAGGAGAAATACAATGTGTTTGCCTTGAAAATTGAAATGGATTTTTTGCTTCTGACAATAATGGAGAGATCAGTCTATCTTTTGAAACAATTAGAAATAGCACCATTATTTATATGACCTGTAATTTACCTTTTTACCTATCTCAAGGAGACATAAACAAATGCTCTTTATTTATACATTTGAGTATTTGAGTAACCTGTTTTAAAACAACATCAGAATCATGAATATTAAATAAGCAAGATTTCATCAGAAGTCTACTTAGTGTTCATTGCTACGTAGTGGTCTTGGCTATGTTGGCACATACAAAAATTGCATCTTGCAGAAGGCTGCAAAGACAGGCAATATTAAATGGTTGAGAAGATTTGACAAATTAAGCTGGGAAGAATTCTGTTAATTCAACTCTCTCCGAATAATTGTGGAGTCCTTTTGTCTTCTCACCACCATGTTCCTGTACCAAAGCCATTGTCACATAACATTCTGTGCCAGCTACTCTGCCACTTGATTTTTGGGACAACTGGGGCAGAAAGAAATGAAGGCTTTAACTTAATAATCAGGGAAATGTTCCCTTCCTGATCAAGGAACCATTATCAAGACAAACTAAGACTGAAAGGCAGTTCTATATGTTGGCACGGGCAATGTACAGAACTCAAAAGAAAAGCCTTTAACTACTGATAAGCAACATTATATTTTGAAACAAATCAAAATAAACAAAGCTAAAACCTCCATCTCTGAAATATATAATATATATATCCGTATATTAAAAAGGCTACATGTAGTATTGAATGACATAATATTATAGTGACTATATTCTATTCTATTGTGTTGCACTGCATAGAAGAATGTACTACTGAAACAGATCTGTCAAAACACAGGTTTTGATTTGACCATGAGGTGGCAGCGCTGCTCAGCACAGAGCCAGAGCACATTAGGCTTTCACTTAGGTACTAGCTGTTGAAGATGCAAACATCCTGTATATTTCCGGGATAAAACATGCATGATACCATTAGAGTAATACGTTCCTAGGACAAACACACAAAAAAAGGAACATTTTATTTGTCTACAACTGGTATCTGAGAGAGTATATTTGATTAAATGGACTGTGTTTTCCCCAAAACAAGAAGTTACACTGAAAACTTTACATTACATTGCAGAATCTTTTCCCAGTGAGGAAAAAAAAGAAGAGGATGTGGTAGAAATAACCTGTCAAAATGTTAATCATAAGATTATACAATCAGAATAGTTTGGGTTGAAGAGGGACCTGTAAAGGTCATCTAGTCCAACTCCACAGCAATGAGCAGGGACATCTACAACTAGATCAGGTTGCTCAGAGCCCTGTTCAGTCTGAACTTGAATGTTTCCAGGAATGAGGTTTCTACCACCTCAGTGGACATAATGTTCCAGTGTTTTGTCACCATTACTGCAAAAAGTTTCTTCCTTATATCAAGTCTGTAATGGGGAAGAATAATTTTCTCATTTGCTGTTAGTTTTATTAGAAAAAAAAAAAATTCAAAAAAAGAAAGGTTGGAATGTAAAGAAAAATTATGTCCATGGGGCAGTTTATAATTTTCCATTCAAAGACTTGCCAAGCAATGAATTCACATGAGAAAATTCAGTTTTCCAAGATGGTTTAACAATATTCTATCCCACAGGAAACAACTGATGAACTACTTGTGCTGATGATGTCTCTGACAGGGATGTATCTTTATTTGGAAAATGGCGTCCCCATATTTATTTTCTTGAAACTGAGAAAAAGGGCAGCAGTGAGTAACAAGCAGTATCTTCCACAGAAAAGAAACCAACCAAACCAACAACATAAATTTGAAGATCAGATGAATGTGAGAAGAAGACTAGTCCATATTCAAGAGACTTGCACAGGATTTTGAAGCAGTTAATTCTGAAATACAAGATATGACTGCAACTTACATAGCCATCCTCAAACTCAAACTGCTCAAACGAGCTTTACTGCAGTTGGCTTTGGTATGGATTGAGTTAGTCATGCAGAGGTCTGGCTAGACACGTAGTTCCTCACACTCTCAGTGGGCTTGATCCTTGTTCCTGGAGGCATGCCCAATTGAGTATTTTTTGGTAGCTCCAAGCAAACTGACAGAGAAACTACATTTCACTTGTGAAATGTACTAACTACCTTTCATTGTGACTACAAGGTAGACATAGTTTCAACATCTTTGTGTCAACATGGCTAGCTATTCTATATCTCTCTAGATCCTAGGTTCCCCATGTAGTAGAAGGACAAACATGTTAGAATGATTTTGGCATGTATGTAAGCCTATAAGTAGATATTAAAATAGCTGCCTTTATATATAATTTTAAAAGAATATTGGATACATATCCTACAAAGATTTATGAAAATACAGTCTGCAGCTTTCTTTTCTGGGTGCAGGATGCCTGTGCAGTAAGACAGAGTGTTGTCATTTGGGTTCAGGATTTCAGCTGATGCAAAAGGGTAGCGGTGAGAAAGCTAAAGCTCTTATGTTAAACACACAAAAATGGGCCTGTTTAATACAAATACTCCCCAGCTACACACTGAACAGAGGTTGTAAAACCCAAGTACCCTTGACCCTGAAAAAAGTCCAGGCTGAGTTTCACCCACCATCAAATTACATGTAGTGAGCACATTATAGCCATAATCTCAATCTTTCTAATTCTTAAATTTTTTTCCAGTGTGTGACGTGTGAAAGACCATGCACTGGCACAAGAGAAAGCATATGTTCGAGTAAACATTTTAGTAGTCTGCAAACAGCTATGTATTATCCATGGATAATGTTCCTTTCTCCACACCCCTCACATGGCTGTTAAGGAGATTTTCTCTGGACTGGGTAATGGACAGAAAAGGTTGTGCAGTATTTGGCAAAGCAGAAGTGCCATTCTAGTGTTTTTTTGTCTAAGGTGTATAATTCACAATATCTTTTCTGATTTTTATCAATTAGATAATTAGCTATAATCTGAATAAAAAACAGTCTGCCTACAAATTTTTGCATGATTAGAGTTGCTTATTCACTGTAATCACTTGGTGCCATGGTGTTGGTCTTTTCCCTAAAGAGATGAACTTAGCTGTCTCTTACAGGACAATAAATAACAAATATAAATAACACCAAAGATAAGCAACTTGCAAGGAACCAAGTTCACATCCTCAATCTTCAGTCTTCAAGGTCGTATGATGCATTCATTTCTTGGTCCTCCAGCCCAAATAAATATGTGGCCCTAATCTTTCTAAAACCTTGAGAGTGAAGGCCTTCAAATGTAACCTTTCCCTCAAAGTTAGAGAGTCATGAGTCTACTCTCTTGGCTGAGCTGGTGCTCTTGAGCCCTCCCAAAAAACCAACAATGTGTCTACATTCACCTGGTCCTGCAAGGAAGCAGCCTTCCAGCACAACTGTTGCTCAGCCATCTCCCACCAGAGTAGGGAGAGCAGTCATTCTGCACATTAATTTTTCTGGAATCTTGACAGTTACATCCAGAACTGCACCTACTCCTGAAAATCTGAAGAGTCACATGTTATTTCAGTATTTGTGTTTGGTTTCTGCATGACTGCAGTAAGAAACGTGATTGGTACTTGTTCAAGACTGTTTTCCTGACAGACATTTAACTCAAGTATATAAATAACATGACCTCTTAACAAAACTGAATTTTTCTAAACAATTGTTACTAAGAGGCCTCCTAAGAAAAAGTACATAATTATGTGATTGAAATTAATACATGCTTCTAGATGAAATTTTCTATGAGTTTAGTTGAGGTTTTATATTTTCTTCCTATTTACCCCTTCGCTACAGCAGTAGGAATTTTAATAATTTTGATGGTTTTGACCATCAAAATAAAGCACTGTATTTTTTATATTTAGGAATTACATTTCAGTGAATTTCACTGATACATGCACAAAGAAAATGCTAGAAAATGTGTTCGCATTTATTTTGCTATCTAATAATTCAGCAATTGTCTTTGAAGCAATGTGGGTTCAGGTACCTTCTCACAGGCCTGTGGCACACAGGTGAGGAAGTGCAAAAGTGTAAACACACTGCAGAACTTAGAGATGTTTTTCCAAACTGCTGGGGCTGCTAAAATGTCTGTGGACCTCTACACTAGGTCATTTGAAATTACTCCCAGATGCCCATGAAACCATCCTATGGCTTGGGATTACTACAGTCCAAAAATGTTTCAGCAGCCTCCCTTTTCAGTAGCGTCCTTAATAGAACCTCTTGTGCAGCATTTTTCTTCAGTCTGTTTTCTTCATGTCTAATGCGTCCTGTGTGCTTACAGACAGAAGAATACAGCTGAAGAAAGTCAGAAGGATAGAATCTCACAAATCTGCGTTTCCTATTAAGCAACACTAATAATCCAGGATTTTTCTTTCAGGCACTGAACAAAATTTGATGGATAAGGCTTACCAGAGGAACTAAGTGGTACTAGGCATTATGTGAAAAGAATGATTTTCCCTCAGAATGCTTCAATGGCTTTTTTCAAATCTAATGACTGCTTCTGTTAAGTTCGTTTCTGTTTACCACATAACCTTTTTGATTTTAGAATAAACTGGAGATGTTTAGGAAACAATGGATTGCATATAAAAATGGGTGTAAAAAATGCAATAAAATGTTGTCCTTACCATCTGTTTTCTTTGATTCATCCCCCACACTAAATTCTTTTCTGTCCAATTTGTTGTCTTCCTTTAATTCACCTAGAAAGAAGCAATAAGAAGCAATCAGAAACACTATAATCATTTTAATGCATGCAGAGTGCATTTTAATGCTTGTAAGTCAATGAAATACCCAAAGGAGATGTTGTTCCTTAGGAGGAAAGGTCTGAGTTCAAAAAGAACTTAATTTACACATTTTCATAGGACAAAGCACTAGAAAAAATTTATCCAACTCTGACAGATAAAGAAGTTTTAAAATCCACTTATAAATTTCTTCTACTTGTCAAAACCTTTTAAAGTTCATATGTAAACTCACAATTCCTCTGATTGTATGTAGGCCATTAAAAAACTTCATCATAAGTTTCATTTCAGAATCAGGAGCCTGAAACATTTATGCTCTCCAAAGAAATAAGATCCTGCAAGGCTTTGTCAGTAGCGTGTTTTAAAGAACCCTCTTAGTTACCCTGAACAGGCTTATGTAATTTTGCTTTACTTTCTCTTACCAGATTCCTTTATCCACAGATTTGTTTGTGTTGGTATCAGGGAACAATCATCTTAGCACTGATCAATGCCTTTAGAGTCTATGTAGCAAACCAAAAAAATCAAGGCCTTTGGCAGAGCAATGGTTCATGCAGAATGAAAACAGCAACTTAAGATGGGGTGTATTTTACAAAGGCAGGAATGTCAACCAAGAGTGACTCTTTTTTCTGTCCTCTATTATCCATACAGCAAAGCACATCAGACCTTACCAGACCATCCCTTCATCAAATGAGAATGCCAAATTCTAGATCAAATAAAAACTTAAATGGAAAGCTGTATCAGAACAGAGCTATTTCAGCTGCAATGTCCAAACAGCAAGAAAGGTATTTTTCCTTTTGTTATGCACATACCTCAACACACACAGCTGTGAAAGTGTCACTTCAGAATGTTGTAAATGCGAGGCTATATTACAGTGATGTTTATTCCATTTTGTATTACTATTTTTGGTACTATAACTACTTCCCAGCCTTTGGATCAAGATTAAAGGTATTAAGTGTTAAAGAGGATATGATCTGCCTTCAAAATACTCATGGGCAGTGGATATTTATTTTTGGAACAGCTCAAAAAAAGAAGAATGGTAGAGAAATGAGGTCTCCCTCTTCCACAATGTGCCTTAACCATTAGGATATTCATTATTCTTGGATGGTAGTGGATCAATCTCTCTCTCCAATTAAGCGTCATCATAGTATAAAAGAGGAATTGTTTTCAAATCCTAAAACAATTAACAAGATGGAACCAAAGCATGTTCTGTTCAGTTTTTGTTCAAAATTTTTCATATTTATCTTCCTAAGCTCACTGTGTGGGTGAAAAAAAAATTAAAAAAAGGAATGCAGGACGATACAGGACAAGCAGCACCCTCCTCAGCTGATCACACTGCCACCGACTTGGGGTCTTTGTACAGACAGGTTATGAGCAGATCCAGCAGGGTTTAGGTGTCTGTTTGATGAAGGTGATCTTAAAAAACAAAAAGGGTGCAGTCTTCAGGAGCTGAAACAGATATATACATAGCAAAGCACAAAAGTATTCTTGCATTTCCTCCACCACCATGCAGTTGATGGTAACGATGAGCTAACAAAGCTTTTTTGACCATTGCATAAACAAGTTGCTTGACCCTAAGTGTGTGCAGGAAAAAATGCTGAACATCTGCACATGCACTGTTTCAGAGGTCGATCATACAAAGAAAGCACAGGGCAGTGTATGACAGAGAGACTTTAAACTCACCTGGTAACACAGTTTCTGAGCTTTCAGTGAATATCATGAAAAGGGGACTTTTGAGTAATGTAATATCTGCCCTGTCATACTGCCAGCAGCAGAGCAGAATAATGATCATCATGATCTTTTTGAAAAGGATTACAGAGGCAGAGAAATAAGACAAATGCATTAGATGAGATATTAACATATAGGCATAAAGAAAGCTGTGGTAAATCTAGAGATCTGAATGTTAAGATTTCATCAGTCCCCAGAGACCCCGCAGTGATTGCTCCTCATAAAGGCCTTATCCCATAAATAAAGGAGCAGAATTTCTTTACCTGAGGAAGATACTAATTTTCAGAAATCATTATAATTCCTTTCAGAGCAGTTTTGACATCTGTAGCAGAGACACATTGCTGAAAAAAGTACTAGCAAAATCACTAGATCACACTTAATTCCCATATTGTTAAAAGCATGCAAAACAAAGGATTGCAGAAGAAATGCCTGGTACAGTCTTAACTCGCATTTCATGTGTCCCTGACCTTTTTGTCTTCCTGAGGGGCCCATTCCTGTTCACATATATAACACTATCTGAAGAAAAATCCCATACATTAGCGAGAATGACAGCTTTGATTCCCACAGCCCTTCCAATCTAAAAATATTCCTAATTACGAAGGAATTACTGGGAAAAGCCAGCAATCCTGAGAATGATATCAGGAATGTTTTAAACAGAATTTCTTCATCTCCTGCCATCTAAACTCACTGCTGAGCCTGGACTTTCAAAGCCTAAATGCTCATTCAGTCTTTCTCGAAGAGGAGGTTTCTAAGTGGTTTTTTCCTCTACTTTTGGACTGCATGATATGAGCCAAATTTGTGACTAAACACATGTGGCTGTACTGCCATTTTTTTATATTGGCTCCAGGAAGCAGGAGCTGTGCAGGAAAGGACAGTGCAATGGCCAAGAGAGAAGTGATCTCTTCTGTTGGGTTTAATAAGTTTTTTTAATGTTTCATGGAATTTTCAAACTTTTTTTCCACCTTTTTTGGGTGCAGAATGGGATTCTTATTTTAACTCAATTGCATAGCAAGTTAAAAAACTGGAATAAAATTACTGTCAAAAAAATCCTCAAAAAATAAAGGCTAGTGATTGTCCTTATTAAAAAAATAAACCGAACAAAGGAAGGATAGGTAAAATAAATCCTAAAAAAAGAGAGGAGAAAAATTCTCTGTTCCAAAACATATTTTGATCTGCAGTTTAAATCAAAGATGCCTTTAATTGGCTTTGAGTTTATAGGCCAACTTTGTCTTCTCTGCCAGTAACTCAAGCTATGAAGATGTTCGTTGAAGCAGGAATATTTATTTCAGCTTTCCATGCTGTGTATTGTAAGAGGCTACTTCAGTTCCATGAAAAAACTATTTTTTCCTTTTTTCCAAGCAGGGATGTTGAACCCCATCTACAGAAGAACACTGCTTGGAATTTAATTTAGTTTCTGATTCCCATATATAGGTGACTATGCCTGTGTTCAGGAAGAGACTCTGGGCCCAGGAATGCTTTTCAGGACATCAGGTTCCCCCATCACAGAGGTGAGATAGGTTTTAGGGCTGGATTTATGTTTCAGTAGAAGAAGAAAACTCACCATTCTGGACATGCTGTTTCTCTTCTCCCACAATATGATGATCGATTTTCTTATCTGTCCTAGGTGCATTTTTCCCTTGATAGGCTTCATGTTTTCTCATACCACTTTGCCAAGTGTCAATTACAGGATTCTTACTGGAATCTGCACTTTTGCTTTCCCCAGGATTTGGTTCTTTGCTCTTTTCTGTCGTTGCTTCTGTGACACCTTCACTTGGCTTCCCATCCTGTTCATCTCTTTCCTTTTCATCTGTTCCCTGATGAGCATTTTCCTCTGCTTCTTTCTTAGCTTTTTCTTCTGCATCTTCAGCAAAGAGAGATGCCAAACATGGAAAGAAATCACAACCATCAGTCAATTTGACAAGAACAACTCTCTCAGTATCTAAATCTACTTCAGCTTTTCACATGGAAACAAATTTACTTATATAAATGCAGGAAGTGACTTGACAACTGAAAAAGAACATAGGAGGACATTTAACAAAATATTTTGAAAATAACCCCCCTGATTGTCCTAAGTGCATTTTATGTGCATGTCCTTTTTTTACCATTTAAAGATCACCTTTGAAAAAGCAGTTCCTCAAAATTCTTAAACAGCAAAAAGAGATACTAGCTACTGAAGGCTGTAGGGATGTCTCATAGATTTCACAGAATATTCTGAGTTGGAAGGGATCCATAATGTGCAACTCTAAAGTAAATAGGCCATATAGAGGTCAAACATATATCCTAACCAACTGAGCTAATCTCAGGGTCTCATGGCATACAGAAGGATTCCTCTCACTTGGGGATCTGAAAAAAAAAACTTTATTCTGCACCAGAACCACAGGTTTCTTCGTCTCAGAATTGGGCTGGCTACAGCACCATTGAATAAGTGTCTCTTGTCAAAAGTAGTGTCAGAAAATACTTTATCTAAATGGTGCTTTGTACATTAGAGTGTTTGTTTAGTCAGTTATTTTGTTTGTTGCTCTTTAACGATGATCACTTAGCAAAAAAAACCCAATCAGTAATAAACTTGCTTTTCTGACACAGCACGAGAAGTCTTTTATTTTTACAAATCTTTTTATATGTAATTTAATAATAGTATTAGCTACAAAAACAGCAATAATAGATTCCTACCTTTCTGATCCCCAACCTCTATTTGCTGTCAACAAGTAGTAAATGTTTCTGTATTGTCTTAATAATAATTGTTTTTATTGGCCATGCATCTTGACTGTAAGACACCAGTTTGTCAAGGGTCAGCAATTTAAGCCCCTGCTGTGTGGTAGGCTTTGCTACAAGACAGGCAAGGAGAGTGGTGCAGAAACCTGCTGCAATTCAAGAGAAAATAGCAGCTGAGCAAAGACACTGATGCAAGTGGTCTGGAATCCAAAAACAGTTCCTTAGTCCTACAAATGTATGCTGGGCCATATGTTTATATTAGTCTTTCAGGATTAAAAAAAAATGCATGCTTGTACTGCTAAATGTACCTAGAAACACAGAAATTATGTAGAAGTCCCCCACATACAGGATTTTTATATAGTTTATGCTTAGTCAAGGAAATATATATGGTACATGCTGAAATTAAATTCTTCAAACTATTTACCTGTAACGTAACTTCATTCACTCAACACTCCTATACTGCAAGACATTGAACATGTTAAATGCTTTGCTTGTTTGGTTAGCTTTAATTTGGTCCATAAGGAATTGCTAGATATTAAATAAAACAAACAAACAAAAAGCCCACAACAAAACAGAAACAAGCAAAAAACAAAACCAAAAAAAAGCACCAAAACCAATCAACCAAAAAAAAAAAAAAAAAAAAGTCCCTGGGAAATAAACAGATTTTGAGTAATGGTTTTGTTTTCATATTCCTGGAAAGTGTTTTTCCTTAACGGCAAGTTTTAATCACAAAGGAAAACTTGTTTTGAATAATACATGATTTCCCGAACCTTTAGACAGCCTTTCAGTTGGAGAGGGAAAATCTGCTCTGGCACTTCAGAGAACTATGCCAAATCCCTAAAGCCACAGCCACGTAATACATGAAAAGCAAACTCCTTCCATTTATATGAAATAAAAAAACTCCATTAAATGAGGGATTGAGCAACAACCATTCAGATCAGAGAATAAATTGTACCACAGTTTCATGAAGAAAAGAAAAAACAATGAAATATTCCTCCTTTTTGTTGCTCCAAATCTGGTCTAAATCGCCTAAGGGCTCTAGGACACTTTGGGCAATCATCCATACCCTTGAGCTAAAGGACTATTATACCTAAATAATTCTCAAAAGATGTCTCTCAGTATTTCCAAAAGAATTCCAATAATAGAGATTTGCTAATGTCTAACTTATTAGACATTATAATTATGTCTATAATAAACTTCCAATTTTTTCTCCTCTTAATGGTCCAGAGTATTTGAATAAAAAATAGTTTCCTTATTTTGCAGCTGCAGTAGTCTTCAAAAAACTGCTTTCAGCTATACACTTTCTTAGCTATAAACAAGTTATTGTCATTTTCATGGCTGTATTCTGCATTGACTACAATTGGTTCATGTGTTTTCCCAACTGCAGTGGCCAAAACTGAACACAGAACAGCATTGAGGGCCTTGTTACTGTTGAAAAGATGATAAGAATGCCAGAGGGGTCTTAGAAGCAAAGCCTTTTGCAGGTTGTTGGGGGTGGTGGGGGGAGTGCTGCTTTGCTTTGCTTTGCTTTGCTTTGCTTTGCTTTGCTTTGCTTTGCTTTGCTTTGCTTTGCTGGGTTTTTTCAGTGGTGGTGGGATGTTGGTTGGGATTTTTTTTTTAGTTTCATGACAGTATTGAACCCTGGTCAACCTTCAAGCAACACAGCCCTCATATTCTTCTGAAATGTTTGCAGTCCTTCTCAGACCGATGACATCACATATATTTTCAGCTTCGTTCCTAATTAATTTTCCAAGTTATCACCAGAAATATGAAACCAGCTGTGAATAGAGAATATCCTATCCTTCTCCCCTGAACTATCCCCCAGCTACCATCCATCTCTAAAACTACCACTCCCTTTCAATCTGAACAATGAACAATTGATAAACCTATATTTACAAATATGATTCCAACTATTTTTGCACCCACTGAGATTGATTTGTGACTTTAAGGGAATTCCCTTTAAATCTTTCCACCTCAAATTGTTCACATCCTCTTTTTTTTGTACACTTACACTTCTGTGTTAGAAGAATGTAAGTCACAGCTGAGTCACAATGTCCCTATCTTTCTGAATTCAGAGTGGGTTGTTGAAATCAATAGGTGGATTCTTTCAAACTAACAGTTTGAGAAGGAAGAAAGATTGAAGAAAGACTGAAGAAGAGGTCAACAGGATTTTATTCTTTCACTAAGAGGACTGGCTGTTACCTTTGGTGGCTTGTGCTTTCCATTTCTCCCTGTTCTGCTGCACCACCTCAGTCCAGGTGGCCTTAAAACCTTTGAAGTCCACAGTGAGTAAGGAGCAGTTGAGTGAGGCACTTCCTTCGGACCCAGTGCTCTTGACACTTGATCTTTTAACTTCAGAGGGACTAATGCTATTCAAACTGGGACACAATATCACAAAACACAGAAGAAATCAGCATCCCATACACTCAAATACAGCTAAGAAAAAGTAATGGTTGAAAGTAAGATAACAGAGCCACCCCTGAGAAACTAAACTTGAATCCCTTATCCTTCCCCTCTTTCCCTTCCCAGGCAAACCAAGGTTAAAGCAAAGAGCACAACCTGAGCCAGTATTAGAAATAAAGGGCTGCTTTTCCCCATCTATTTCTTGGCATTCATTCTCACTGAGAAATAGAATCACTCAAAATGCTGTAACTATTTTTTTTTTTGTGTATCTCCACTCCTTAAATATTGCTGGAGAGTCAGACAATTCTAGAAATCAAATATGTCACAGGAGGTGTCTCCTAAATTTCACCAATGGGAGGTATTAGGCACAGGCCAATCTCTGCCAGGGGCTTGGTGACCTCGGCTGAGGCTCAGACGTTAATTTCTGTTACAGATCCTACAGTTTACTTTTGATGCTTTATTGTGAACATTTTAACAAAGGCAGCAAGAAAAGACAGAGAATGATAATAGTGTTTGGTCTTTGTTTGCCCAAGAGCACAGAAGTCACCTGGGACAGTGAATCTTGACTTGATAGCCCTACTCTAGGGAGCACTAGCCATATGGGATTTGAATCCCAAGATGTGCCTTGTCAATTAAACTAATAAAAGAGCACTATCTCTAAAACAGCAGTGCAGGTTGGATGGGCCAAGACTTCCTGCACCTAAACTCCAGGTAATTGTGGTCGTTCTTCACACACTTGCATAACCCTAAATACTGTCAACAAAAGTGTGCTTATTCTTTCCAGCTATCGTTTGTGTTTCAATCCCATTTATACTTCCAGGCATGAAGAAACAAGTGCCTCCCAATTACTCTCATTACCTTCTCTCTGACATGAGTGACTAAGAGAGCACTGAGAGTGTATCTGATGACAGGGCTACATTTGTGCTCCTTGCCTTAGAAGGTATGGCTCAGGCTGATGCCACCCTCCTCCCTCTTGGACCTCTTCCAGGCTGGACATTCCCTGCACAAAGTCACTTCACGAGTTGAGCTGTGTTGTTGACAATGCAGATATGGGTCTTTAAGCCACAAGAAAGACATATACTGTAGATGGAAACCAGGGCAGCTGATTGGAATGGCAGCTAGTACAGAGTGAAGGGAGAGGGTGCAAGGTTATTCACCTGGAACGCCGAAATCCAGACAGGCCAGAGTGGGAAGCTTCATCAATTAGTGGAGTCACAATTTTCTCTGTCATGTCGGTCAGCACACTAAAGGTGGGTTCCACAATGAAATCAATGAAACCTGAGCAGAAACACAAGCAGGGTCAAGCAGGCAAGAGGAAGGTTTATGTGGAGTCCTTGCTTCAGTGAGTACAGGCGACCACACTATAAATGACAGGAAAAAAAATTATACCTTGAAAGAGGAATAGGCACAAACTAGGAAGGGAAAACTGAGTTATACATTAATCCCTGACCCAAGACCCTCAATATAGCATGCAATAAAAGGTACCTTCTTAAACATTGGAAAGGGACTCTGGCAAATCAGGACATAAACAGAATCATCAAGACTTGTTTTATAAGTGGATTAGTGTGATATTGAAGTCAAATTCCTAGTCGATTTTTGATAAAACTTTAAAATAAAGTTCATCTTCAAAGAAGAACTCTCTCTCAAAAAAAAAAAAAAATAATAATTGTAACAGTAATAATACCAGTAAGCTTAAACCTCCCTTACTGCGTATCAATATGTTGCTGTGAATTCTCTCTCCTCAGTGCTTGGTCAACTTTTTCTTGTTGATAATAGAACACATCCAGATGCTTTTCTCACATTTTTTAATATTTAAAAAAAAAGGAAAAAATAAAGACACAAATATTTTCAGTATTCTGTTTGATAGAGATGAATAGAACTCTGATCTGAATGTTGGGAAATGTGGACTGAAGAGCCCTGTGGCCATAGGGTTATGAGATGAAGGAAAATCTAAATTGCATGAATAAAATGTGGAAGTGAGTTGCTTACAGTAGCTTACATATTTCGCTAATTCTTTTAGCACTTCACTTATGAAATTACTTATTGCTGCAGGTAGCCAAGAAAACAACAAAATCCTTAATCCCTCCTAAGGCACACTGGAGTCCAGGTTACAATTACTACTGTTACAAATCCCTACTACTAATTTTTAGATATTTTTTAATTATTAACAATTTATTTTTCATTAATAATACTGTAATTTCTCTGATAAGGTCATGATATGTTTCTGTGGTACTGGCGATTTTAGGTGATAACTGAAGAACAAAAGAAGAGGTCATGTGGTTCAGGCACCTGAATTTACAGCTGCTTCAATCCACGTCTTGAGTGCAAAGCAGTTGAGCATCCTCCTAGTTCCATTACCCTCCCCATATTTTTGCTAAATTTCTAAAAGGATGGATTATTAGGTGTATTTTCATGTCAATCAAATTTCATATGTTACTTTCCAGTAACATTCTGTAAATCTGGAGACACATGCAGTCTTATTGGAACATATGAATCATGTGCCTCCATAACATTGGGTCAGTCTTATCTAGTAAAATTTAGGAAAAAAGAATTCGCAGGTAGTTAATTGGCATGCATGCATTATAAAGCTGGAATAGGAAATTGTATGCTAGATCACAATGCTGATAATCCCAGCAAAGTTCATATAATTTTTTTAAGCACTGAAAATTTTACTGACTGAGAACAGTGTTAAGCGTGCCACAGGAATCCTAATGATAATGAGAAGTTGATTTACACATTTGTGTGTCTGTCTATATGTTTCTTCTATTCCCTTTCACTTAAAAACTTATTTACCTCTCAATGACCAAAGAAACCCAAGTCATAGTACCTTGTCATTCTGCTCAGCAAATAAGACCACTGCCCCTTGCTCCTTTGCCACTAACAACCCTGAGACATGCAAATCTCTGATACCAAACAGATAAATGTGTCACTGACTTCAGCAGCAAGACAGTGGGATCTGTTTTGTGAGATACTGAGCAGTTGCACATAAATACATTTTAAAAGTTTTCCCCATGAGAAGTTTTGCATCTCATCAACAAAGACCAGCAGAGGTGCTGAAAGGGACCACTCAAATTAAACTAAATTCAAAACAAACAAATTCAAATTCATAAGACAACTTTTCCTTGGTAAGTGGAATTTTTTTCCTCTATTCTCTATAACATGTATAAGTTATTCAACTATGTTACCTTAAATTAGGGATTTTTAAAAAGTTGGAATCATAATCTGCTATTGTAGAAAAAAAAATATGACTTTTAAAAAAATGTGTAATTTTTACCATATTCCTACATGCCTCCCTGCCTTGTATGCTCTTACTCTTTACCTGAAGACTGAGATTTAAATATGGCAATTTAGTTTGCTACTTATAACTCTGAATATCAAATAATGAGCCTGAGTTTTAAAACCTATTAATGTTAATGACCAGTATATCATCCTTTTTCTCCTTCAATAGAATGAGCATGATAAACATTTGTACCCTAGAGACTAAGATGACTTTACCAGTTAATGCTGCATGCTAAGAGTGAATTCCAGGCATATGCCTAGTGTTCATTCATTATACCTGTGAACATCAACATAGAAAAAATTGGGTAGGGGACAATTTCTCTAAAATCCACCATAAAAAAATCAGCTGTATACACTCATCAGACATTATCCAATGTTTTCTGAAAGTGCATTTTTATTTCTTGATAGTAAAAGGACAAAAATAAAAGCATGCTGTTGCATTTATAAGCTGCAAAAGAAGACAATGACAATAAAGACTGATTTTCAGTAAGACAAGCTTCCTTGAGTTCGAGCCAGAGAAGTTTTAGTTCCTGATATGCTTCTTGGAAAATATGAAGGTCTTGGTCTGGTTTTCTTTGCACCTTTTTTCTCTCCCCTACTCTGACAAACAGCTTGACTTCCCAACAAAAATCTTTCCCAATTTCTGTACTTCACTATGGTACAGAAATATTTGCCATACTCATTCTGTTGAATAAGAAGGATGATAAATTGGTCATTTTAGTTAACATTAATAGGTTTTCAAAATAAAGTTCAATAATTTATATTCATGGAGGTTTTATTTATTAGTTTAAACTGAACAAATTTTTCATAACCTGATGTAACAGGAGAGATGCATTCGTTCCTTTGAGGAGTTTTCTTCTGTTGGCTTTCTTAATTTCATGCAATAAGTCCATACTGCCAAAAGCTTCAGTCTGCGTTTGTGAAAAGCTTTCATTAATGAAAATGTGTGCCCACTGTTTTTGCATCTACAGTGACCTTACAGCAGCAAACTAGCAGCTACAAAGAAGTTGAGCCACCAGAACACGATTTCTAACTATGTCCTTGATAGACCTAAAAGCACAATTTTATTTCACAAAGGTTTTTAATAATTTTAATTTTAATTTTAATTTAATTTAATTAATTTAAATTCAATTTAATAATTTTAATTTTAATTTGTGAGAATTGATGGATGCTTGATGCAGATGACAATCATAGAATCACTAAGGTTGGAAAGGACCTTTAAGATCATCAAGTCCAATAATATAATATCACAATTTGGAACTCAGAAAGAACTTAATAATGCAAAGAAATGTAATTATTATTCCAGGAAACAATTTTTGGAGGCTATTAATTGGGTAAATAAATGAACAAAAGGAGATTATTTGTCTAGCCTACAACTTTGAAAGTCTTATCTCAGCAGATAGCCAGAAAATAGGTGGTTGCCATTTAACAAAAGGAATATTAAAGAAAGACACTGTCAAAATTTGCAACAGACTGAGAAATTAATAATTTTATAATGGTAGAAAGCAAAAATAAAGAGTAGTCTGTTAATGTCAATGGATTACTAAATCGCACAAATGAAAGAGTATATGACTAAATAAGCCTGCCTTTGCCTACTGACAAGTGTCTCTAAGATAAATTGTATTCTTGATGGTTTAATATAACATTAATTTTGCAGTGGCTTAACACATTGGGCATCAGAACAGAAGTTTCTTTCCTCTTCTGGTCTTTCTGAGCAAAGAAGCACAAAAGGAGAGGACCAGGAAAGTGGTCCCCAAGCATACACAACCCTATGTAGAGGGACCCCGGAGAAGGCACAACTCCTCTTCCCTGTAAGGAGTCAGGAATATATCTGAAAGCTGATTAAGTGGATGTGTAAGAGAAGGATCTACCTGTACTTTCCCTCACTGCTACCAGAGAGGGAGAGTTTGTCTTCTCCCACAGCACAGCAATAAGCCTATGTCCAGGAGTCTTCAACATGAGTTTTAGCTGAAGCTGTAGCACTTCAAGTTAGTTGCTGCTTTCCTCCACCAGGCTACTGGCAGAACACACAGTTGTATGGTAGGTTATTGTTCCAGAGGAGTAAATGCTACAAGCCTGGTAACCAGGCCAGGTTTGTATAGGGCTCTTCAAACTCAGATTCTTAGGTGAATTTTCTAAATTTCCAAAGCCAGAAAAATCTGGGATGCTGTCTCTGAGATAATGGCTTGCCAACCAGGAACAATGAAATAATTTTAAACAGAAAGAGCTCTTAGCCAAAGATATAAATCTGTACTTTCCTAGATTCAGGGAAATCTTTGTTTCGTGCTTTGAGAGAAATTTCTTGCTTCAAATTTTTTGTTCGCTTTCTTTAATATGTTTTCTGTCTTTCTGTTTTACTCAGTTCTCTCAATTTTAGCATCCATGTTATCTTTCCTTTTTGTATTCCATTTGGCTACCTATTCTCTAGTTGAGGCTGGAACATGTTCTGTCTACTTCACTTCATTCCAAGGTATAAAAATCCACCCACAAATCCACCTTTTCCATGTTCTCTTCATTGTACCAAACCCCCTGAACAGTTTTATTTCACTTAGCCCCTCTTGTTTTTTCACTAAATGTGAGGCTTGTTGCTTCATCCTTCCCCTACTTTTTCACTCAGTAACTGAAGGAGAGGTAGAGAAAATGGTGTTGGCGAGTCTGTAAAAAGATCTTTTTCTGAATGGGTGGCACAGAAAAAGGTTTGGTAGCTGCTTGGCTTCAGTGAAAAATAATGGTTGGTTTAAAGCATTGGGAGGGAAAGGATGAAAGGAATAAATTGTTTTGTCCAGGTCATCAAAGGAACAGACATTACATTTTCATATACACCAACAACATTCATTCACATGATACTCTCATGTGTGCTCTGTCTTCACAGCTCACAAAGTCATGGAGTAAGTGCCATAACCAGGAACTGTAGTTATTTCTGCAGACACATCAGATGTAATTTGGTTACTGTATGAAACCATCACTATAAATTTAATCATTCCTCTTTGAATTGTTGATCTGTGGAAAATAATGCCATTGTGTCTTATTTCCTCTCTTTAACATAATTCCAAATGATGAGTAGGATCTTAGTGCTATTAAGAAGATGAAGTTTTTCTTTTAAGATGCTACTTTGTATGCACCAAAAGGGACATACCTATTTGAGACTGAGCAACCATAGTGGATTTCCGATCACACAGAGGAGAGAAGGGCAGCCCTAGTTCTGCTTCTTTGTCACCCTGGAGAAAAAAATTGAGAATAAAATTTAAAAAGACAAGACACATTGCACTTTTCATATATTATGTCACGATTGTAAAAGCATCTCGTTTTATTTTCTTTAATTAAGTTTGGATTTTGTTTAGATTGGGGTTTTTTAATAGATATATATATAAATTGTAGAGAATTTGAGTCTCACTAGAGAAGCTGTAGTCCAAGGAGAAGTTGGTGAATTAAGAATCTTGATTCCGGTGACTTTTCATTAGAACTTTCCCTGCTTGCTTGGTACTTCTATGCACCAACTAAAAACCACTTGAGCACAAGAATGCTTGTCACTGCAGTTTTCCAGAGAGCTCAGTTCTCAGAGCAAATCTTTCATGAGAAAACATCATTGTCAGGACTGATTTGTCAGGGCTTGCACTTCCTTGCATGCCTTTATTTAGTCTTTCAGATAAGACTGTCTGGATACAGATTAGTTATTTTTTCCAAAGTTTTCTATGAGAAAGTAACCTGGTGGGTTGATGTGGGACACACTGTGGACATTATCTACCTGATTTCACCAAGGCTTTTGATATGGTTTCCAACAGCCTCCTCCTAAAGACACTGATGTGTTATAGTACAGACAAGTGGTCCATGCAGCAGGTGGGGAACTGGCTAACAAGCCCCAGCCCATCAGCAATTGGTGATAAATAGCTTCTTTTCAAACTAGCAACTTGTCACAAGTGGGATACTCCAGCAGCCAGTACGGGACCCAATACTGTTTAATATCTTTATAAGCAATCTGGATGATGGGATCAAGTTACCCTGGCAGCTGATGATACCAAACCAAGTGGGCAATGGAACACTTTTAAAGGGAGAGTCATCCTGCAGGTAGACCTGGATAGGCTGGAAGAGTGGGCTCACAAGAACCTTATGAAGTTCAACAAGGACACATGTGAGGTCATACACCTGGGAAAACATAACCCAGGACCACAACACAGGCTGGGAGCAGCCCAGCTGGAGAGCAGCTCTGTGGAAAAGGACCTGAGGGTCCTGTTGGACAGCAAGCTAATATGACTGAACACCATGGTCTCTGGTGAAGAAAACAACAGAATGGTGGGCTGCATTAACAAGGGCATCACCAGCAGAGGTAATGAAATCATTATTCCAAGCTACTCAGCACCTACCAGGTCACAGCTGGAATACAGTGTTCAGTTTTGGTCCCCCCATGCAAAAAAGAAGTGTATAGGCTGGAGTGGGTCAAGAGAAGGGCTACAGAGATAATGAAGCAACTGGGAAGCCTGTCATGTAAGAAAAGGCTGAGAGAACTGTGTTTGTTAAGCCTTGAGAAAAGAAAACTTAAAAGAGACCTTATCACCATGCTCCACTATTTAAAAGGTGGCTACAAAGAAGATGGAGACCCACATTTTACAAGGAGGCACATGAAAAGATATGAGGTAATGGATACACATTACTCCTGAAGAGATTCTAATTAGACACAGAATAAAATGTTTTCACAATGAGATCAGCCATTAAAATTATCTCCCTAGGGAAGTGGTGGATTCCCTAGCTTTGGACACTTTTAAGATTCAGCTGGATAGGGTGCTGGATTGTCTTATCTAGACTGTGCTTTTGCCAAGAGATTGGAACAGATAATCCTTCAGCTTTCTTGCAACCGGGTATTCTATGATGCTGTGAATACGACATTTCACATTACCTTGAGATTACATTTACATTTTAACTACATAAGTCCAAACATGCCTACCAGCCCTCAGAACTGAAAGTTCTTTTCTAGCATCATAAGATGGTATAAGACCAAGTGTTATAACCCTATATTTCCCAATTTTCCAGTTTTTCAAGTCACATGTTTCAAAAAGCTCTTTAATTCAATTCAATCACTCTATAACGTTGCTTTATGTTGAGAAGATATGTATAGGATGACATAGCTGCAGTACTCCCCACAGAGCATTCAAATTTAACTAGCCTGTTAAATATACTGTAAAATCATTTACTTAAATTAGCAGCTCACTATAATTGTGCTAAACTTCTTGTTAGTGTTCTGACTAATGTCAAATAGAAGCTAAAATATTCAGGAAATTAAGCAGATAAAAGCTTCTGTGGGTATAAGTGCTGAATTCTTCTTATTTCTGTTAATATGCATAAAAGGGGGGCACAAGTTATGCTAGGATTTTGTGTAGAACAACAAGCAATAGTATCCTTCTACTATAGGAAAATCCTGATTTATTTTAGGAGCCTGATATACAAATATCAGGGTAAAACACAAACTAAACACAGAAATATTTCCAAGTTATTCCTTTCCTTTCCAGAAATATTCCTTTACTGTGTCAGTTGTGTCACTCAGAAAAAACATCTCTCAATGCCAGCTCATAATTCTTCTATTACTCCTTAGACCTCCTGGAAGCCAGTGGCTCATTGTCTTGGAAAGGAACACCTGCCTGAAGTGCTCAGAGAGACATTTATTTTCTGAGCTATTTGAGCAGCTCCATAATGGCTAGCTAAAACACATTAGTAGAACTAATTAATGAAGATGTTTGCCTGAAGAGATGCTCATAGATGTTGAGTATAAAAAACCAGTACTCTACTTAGAATCTTTCACACCTACAGCATGGTCACTTGAGGTGTGAAGACCTGTGTCATGTCACATCTCAAAATACTGGGAAATAACAGAGCTGAGGATCTTTTCTGATATAGTTTAGGTCAGGCTTTATGCCTCTGAAGAACATTTAGCAGAAAGGAAAGGGTCTGCAATAAGTGACCAAGGAAATAAATGTCCAACCCTAGGTCAAGCAAGTTCCTTACAACCATATGCCCTTGGCTAGTAGTAGTTCTCAATATGATGGTTTTGGGGATGGCATTCTCCAATTTAGTGCTCCCACAAAAATCCTCAACACCATGCATTCCCCACTCACTGGCCATTACCCGTTCCTCTCCCCCTGCAGTGAGTTGGAAAGGAGAATTGAAGGCATAAAAAAGATACAGATCAAAACTTAAGAACAATCTCATAGAAACAGCAATGAGATAAGAAAACAAATAGTAATAGCAACAGTATGAATAGCAAAGAGACGGCAAGTGATTCACATACAAATGCTCAGCATGGAGCCTGACTGCTGCCACATTACCCCAATCCAGAAGAAAGCCCTTCCCTCGTCCCAGAAAAATTATGTGAAGTGGTATAGAATAACCTCCTGGTCCTAGCCATGCCTCCTCTGGCTGCTGTGAAAATTACCCTGTCCTGTTCAGAACTAGGACGGTACCTACCCTTTATTTCTATGGCATTTGCATTATGCCCAGATCCCACACTTTCCAACTATACACATATATACAGAAAAAAAATAAAATGTATGTATGTATATATGTATGTATGTATTTACAAGCAGTATTATCATTTTTGTAGTCAATGGCCATCCCTCCAAGATGCCTGTTGAGTTCATTTAGTCCTGTGACTAAATGACTGTGTATTCTATCCATCCTAAGTGTCTTCAAGGGCCTGCTTGAACTGGTGTGCTGTTGGGTGGTTGCAAGCTGCATCAGGAGTTCACAACTGGTGTATCTGGAGCAGTCCATATCCGTGGTCCATGGTGGCTATGGCATACAGTGCCAGTGTCATTCAGCAGACAATATTAACAGTTCAACATTACAGACTGTTCTCACCCAAAAATCAAATCCCTTTGAGGTATACATAATGTTTCCCCGTCACTCTCCATTACGCACCAAGTGCACCCAGAGCCTTGAGCAAAACAATCCCACATTTGTTTGAGGGAGGATTAAGCCAAACTGTCTTTCCAAACATATTCCTCATATACACCACAGGGACTTCGTCCCCTTCTACAGTATGTTGAGGTTTTATTGCACAGGGGGAGCTCAATTAGCAAATATTCTAGTACGGACTAACCAGATGGCCTCCACAAAATGTAGATCCCAATGTTTGAATGCCTCACTACCTATGACTTTCAATATGGTTTTTAACAGCCCATTGTACCATTCAATATTCCCAGAGGCTGGTGCATGATAGCAAATATGATACACCCACTCCTTACTGTGCTCTCTGGCCCAGCTGTCTATGAAATTATTTTTTAAATTAGTCCTGTTGTCTGACTCAATTCTTTCTGAGGTGTCATGTTGCCACAGAACTTGTTTTTCAAGGCTCAAGATGACATTACAGGCAGTGGCTTGAGGCACAGAGCACATCTCCAGTTGTTTCCACCACTCTAAATACATAGTATTTTCTTGTGAGTTTGAGAGTGTGATGTAATCAATCTCCCAGGCCTCCACATATTTATATTTCAACCATTGTCCCCCATACCACAGAGGCTTTACCCACTTGACCTGCTTGACTGCAGTGCTTATCTCACAGTTATAGATAACCTGAGAGACAGGATCCATGGTTAAGTCTACCCTCAATCACAAACCCATCTCTTCCCTGTTGTATCTCTTCCTTGGGGACCTGAGGTATCATGGGCCCACTAAGCCAGAAATAATTCACACTTATTCTGCCAATGCAGATCCACCTGAGACACTTTCATCTTGGCAGCTCAATCCTCTTCTCCATTGTTGCACTGCTCTTCAGTAGCTTGATTCTTGAGTGCACTTGCATCTACATGACTCAGTTTTTCAAGCCAGGCAGCAATGTCTTTCCACATTTCAGCAGTCCACATGGGTTTACTCCACAAAGCCAACTGGTCTTTTTCCATTGGTCTGTGGACCACTCCCACAGAGTATGTTACCATCCACAAGTCAGTGTAAAGGTAGAGTGCTGGCCATTTCATTCAGAAAAATCTAAAGCCAGTTGAACATCTTACAGCTCTGGAACCTAGATCCACCTTGTCTAATTTCTGCAACTCATCACACAGAACTCCATACAGCAGCTTTTGATTTTCAGTATGTTCTGAAAATACAGCAGAACCATCAGTAAAGAGTGCATATGGCTTTTTATTTTCTGATAGCTGATTATATATGGTAGGACCTCCTCAGCACATGTCATCTTTTCCTCCTCCAATGATTATGATAGTCTGAAATTTTTGCCTTGAGGCCAATTTCTGGTTTGTGATTTTGCTTTCAGGCCAATATCCCTGGGCAATTAGGGGTCTCTAGTTGAGCTTTCTGAGTGATCAGCACAAACCTTTTCAACATTCAGCCCAGAGCAGGCTATCAGGGTTCCAGGAGCAGCTGTGCTTCAGTGACAATCCCTTCTGATGCAGCTGGAACTCCTTCATAAACTGCCAGTACCTCTTTTTCAGTTGAGGTGTAACAGGCTTCATATCCTCTGTATTCCAGAATCCAGAATCCCAGGGGTTACCTTCAAATCTCCCAAGGTACCTTTTGCTAGAGATTCCAGGAAAGACTATGCTCCCTGGCTGTGGTGTACAGCACATTTTTTTGCATTTTTTCCTGTCCTAACTGGGCCTATCGCTCCCAAGGAATCTCCTGAGTACTGAGGAAAGCTTGTATTTCCTTCTTGCTGGCTGGTAGGCACATAGCTGCTATTTTGTTGACCATATCCACTGGAATCTGATTATAACCATCTTGCTATTTTACTCCTAAAAACTGATATTCCTGGGCAGGTCCCTTGATTTTGCTTTATGGCAAAATCAACCTTCAGAAAGATGTGGATTATCTTCTTTTTTTCAAAAAACTCACTCTGTTGTGTTGTGCCACACAATAATGCCATCAATATGCTGCAAGTATTTTGGAGCCTCACCCTCTACAGGTTCAGTCTGGATCAGTCCGTAGGAATAGTGCTTCCACTCCTAGAGCCATCAGTTCTAGGCATATGGGACACCCCTCCAGGCAAAAGCAAACTGTGGCCTGCACTCTCTTGACAAAGAAATGGAGAAAAATGGATTAGCAATGTCCATGGTGGCACCATTTTGCTGCCTTGGACTCCAG